ATCGCACCTGTAGATGAGCATTCCATAAGAATTGCTCCAGAGAGGATCCAGAATGTCTCTCTGGAAGGTGATGTTTTAACCATTTCTCTCCACAGGGACTATGTTGAATCTGTAGATCTGGCAGGTCATGCTCAATTCCTTGCCAGAATTGAAAGGGTTAATAACAACTTATTCTTTCCTATGCAAATACATGACTTAGGAAGAAGTAGGAATGCAAAGCTGGACTTACAGAGTGAGAACAGCTATATTAGCAGAAGTCTGTTAAAGCAGATCGCTAATCCTAAAATGATCAGGTACGCTTCCCCACATGACAGGTGGATCCAGAATCTGGATGGCGAATCAGAGAGTCACAATGTGATAGCAAAATGTTTACTATCTATTTCCATCGGAAATAAGACCGTTAAACATTTATTCCTAGTGATAGACGAACCTCGCTATCAGGTTTACGTTGGCAATGATGTCATACATAGCTTTGCCATACACCTTGACCTGATTAATTCCAACTTGTGGACAAGGTTAAAAGGTAATCCTTGTGGATGCCTACACGAGGAAAACGCCCTGAAATCAGGACAAATACTCCCATATGCGGTAAGTATCCACGTTCCTGATAACATAACCATCCCACAAGGGACAAGTAACTTTCTTTTACCCCTACAGGTCAAGGAGGGTCAGAGATTAGAAAACTCTGATGCCCTAATCTGTTTATCCAACAGGATACAACAATTAGGGATGGTGGTAACACATACACCAATGGTAAGTATTGGTAAGAATCCCACCTATATCATGGTCAACAATGTTACACCCAATAGTGTTACTTTACCAAAAGGAACATCATTAGGTCTAGCATTGGATGCTGAGTACTATACATTTGGTTTCCAACATCAAATTATAGGCCTCATCCCTGAAGAATACTTAACTGAGGACGAAATTGTCGATCAAATATTCCATTCCTCCCCAGAAGGATTATTCACTATCCTATCTGTATATCCCTTCAACGTTGAAGAAGGCTCGTGTAAAATCGAAGAAGCATCTATCACCTTCGATCATCCGCTCAATGAGCAGGAATCACAAGAGTATCACGACCAAAGAGAAAAGGTAAGTCAACACCGAACTGACCTAACTTCTAGGCTTGAAGAAGCTTATGAGATAGGCCAGCCTGAAATCTTTCCAGGATTTCAGGAAAGGCTAGAAGAGCAAATATCTTTAGCTGACAGTTGCTCCAACGATGCTGAGCGGCAACAGCTAAAGGAAATCCTTTTGGAATTCCAAGATATTTTTGCCAAAGATTCCTACGACTGTGGGTTAACTAACCTCCACGTAGCCAGAATACAAACTGATCCAAATTTACCACCTGTATTTATCAAACAATATAGACTCCCATTAGCGTCATATGATGGTCTACAAGACATCATTCAGAATTAAAGGAAAGGGGCATTATACGTCCAGTGCACAGTTCGTATAATAATCCGATCTTGGGGATTCTGAAACCTAATGGACAATGGCGTTTATGCGCTGACTTACGACAGCTAAATAAACGCGTCTATATGTCTGGTTGGCCAACGCCATACATAGACCAATGTTTGGTACAAATGCAGGGATCCAAAATATTCACTGCCATTGACTGTGCGCAGGGATATTGGACTGTACCAGTTCATAATGAAGACCAATACAAATTGGCCTTCACATTTGGAAAGCAGCAGTATACCTGGACCCGTATGCCTTTCGGTTATATAAACTCTGGTCATGAATTCGCTGTGTTCATGCATAAAGCTATGCCTGACGCACTCGAGAGAGGAACGTTATCATATGTCGACGATGTCTTGCTGAAAAGCACTTCCTTTGATAAGCATATCATAGAGATTAGACATGTTCTCACTCAGTTAAGAGAGGCAGGGATTAAACTGTCTTTACAAAAGGCACAATGGTGTCGCACCCATGTCAATTTCCTCGGACATGAGGTAACTTCTGAAGGATTAAATCCCCAGAGGAAGAAGGTTGAAGCCGTACTAAAGGCTAAAACACCTTCAAACATCAGGGAATTAAGATCGTTCCTTGGTATGACTAACTACTCCCGTAAGTTTATAGATAACTATGCAGAAATAACTAAACCACTCTTACACCTGCTTAAAAAGGAAACTACCTGGAACTGGGGGGAGCCTCAGGACCAAGCGGTAAGTGAACTGAGGAGGAAGCTCACTCAGGCACCCTGTTTAGCATACCCAGAGGGGGGTAAACCCTTCTATCTGGAGACAGGATATACCGATTTAAGCATAAGTGCTGTTCTGTATCAGAAGCAGGACAGTTTAAACAAAGTTATTGCATATGCTAGCAAGACTTTGTCACCTGTTGAAGTTAAATTCAACACGTGTGAGAAGGCGTTATTGTCGACTGTATGGGCACTACAAAATTTTCGTAGCTATATCCAAGGTGAGAAAATAATTGTAGAAACAGCTCACCAACCTCTACAGTATCTGCAGAGTGAAAGAATTAGAGACGGTAATCTCTCTAACAGTCGGATTACTGCATGGACTCTATCCTTACAGGGATGGCCGTTAGAAGTCCGTTATAAACATAATAAGAGAAGCCCAGTTGCCCAAGGTTTAGCAGAATTACATGACTGTACTGCTCCATCTCTGGATGATAATGACACCGGAGATGACTTCCTAGAAGAGCAATTGCTATCTCCTTATAAAGTTTATGACGAGGAATACTGTCGACCACTACCGTGGGTATACATTGATGGTTGTTCATATCACCACGTAGTTGGTACTGAACGGAAGTTAGTTGCAGGTATCGGAATCGCCTGGACAGGTGATTATCCCAATGTATCTATAGGATACAATATTGGTCCCAAAAGCAGTCAGATAGCCGAACTCTGTGCAGTATATAAGACCATTCAAATGGCAATAGAATATGGTATCAAAGAATTTGTTATTATAACTGATTCCAACTATGTTCACAACAGTTTCGTCGAATATCTGCCTAGCTGGAAACGTAACCAAATGCTGAAAAGCAATAACAAACCTGTTAAACATGGGAAATTGTTTTGTAAAATCGATGAACTGGTTAAGGAAAATGGTTTAACCATATATTGGAAGAAAACCAAAGGCCATTCTAAAATAGAAGGTATTGACAAGGATGGTAATGACTTAGCTGATTCACTGGCAAAACAAGCTGCCATCAATGGTGAAACCCTAAACATTGATGATCTTATGGGTTCAATTCATGTTGAAGCCGTAACTAGACGACAGGCTATAGATAATGCCGACTTAAACGTCGTGCAATGGAGTCAAGAAGCTCCTAGTGAGGACTTGATTACCAGTCAAAAGAATGATCCCGTCATAGGCATATTCTATAAACATATAGAAGACCCTATTGCCAATCCCATCACAGATGAGGATTGCAAAGATAATGAAGATTTACGAATCTTGATGAGATATAAAGTCCAATTTAGTATCATGGATGGGTTGCTGGTCAGAACTTCTAAACATGGTATACAACAATGGGTAGTCCCAACTGTATACAGAGGGTTAATGCTCCAACACGCACATGATGCACCTACATCTGGGCATCGTGGTGATAAGATCACATATGAGATATTGCGTGATTATGCATATTGGCCACACATGTTAAGGGATGTTAAGACATACTGTCAGGGATGCTTGATTTGTCCGCAATATCAACCCCATGGTCCAACCCATCGTGCACCACTTCAGAAGAGGGGGGTGTCATTACCCTGGTCTGATATTCAAATTGACTTTATAGGTCCTGTAACAAGATCTTCAAGAGGTAACAAATACATGTTAACTGTTACATGTATGTACACAAAGTGGATAGAATGTTTGCCTTGTAAAGAGAACACGAGTACCGTGTGCGCCACTTTGTTGATTAACCATGTCTTTTCCAGGTTCGGTCTGCCGCAAAGAATTGAGTCAGACAGAGGTAGTCATTTTACCAGCGAAGTAATGGCTAAGATGTGGAACATTCTTGGTGTTAAACGAAAGCTACATATTGCATGCCGCGCTGCGTCTAGCGGGGGGGTAGAGCAATATAACCAGTCTATCGTTAATATTCTAAAGAAATATGTTAAGGAGTCTGGTAAAGACTGGGACATTAAATTGCCCCTAGTTTTAATGGCGATTAGAGCTACACCTAGCACTGCTACCAAATTGTCACCTTTTGAATTGATGACAGGAAGAAAGATGGTTTTACCACAGCATTTACTATATCGTACTTCAGATCATAACTTGATCAATGCTGCCACTACGCATCAGTATATCGAAGATTTGCGCAAGCATTTACAGCATGCGTTTGCTTTTGCCCAAAAGAATCTAGAAAGAGCAGCGACAGGGGTTAAGACCTATTACGATTTAAAAACCACAAAAAAGGAATATGAGATAACAGATCAAGTCTATCTGTATAACTTTGCGCGAAATCAAGTCAAGGAAAATAAATTTTTACCTTCTTGGAAAGGGCCATATGTCATCATTGACAAAATTTCCGCAGTAGCGTACAAGATAAAAATTCCTAAGGATTTTATTGAAAAGTGGGTTCACATTAACCAGTTGCGTGCTTGTCATCCTAAATCTCAATTAAGGATTATAGGTGCGGATTCGGATGCAGAAGGATGAACGACTAACCTGGATGAATGTTTGATTCACGTGGTATCGTATGATGAGAATTGTTGTGATGTGCCATGATCTCATGTACGTTCATGTCATTAACCATTTCCTTGCCATCCAATAACTACATTTTTAAGCAGGTTACTAGCTTGTTTAACTGCTATAGGCGAATTGCTGAAGAGTCAGTAATAAATGTAGTGAGGGATGAAGTTATAAAAATAGAATTAGAGAGAATACATATGTTGATGAATCGTAATAATGTGTTGTCCAAGTGATATCACACTGTTATAAGTTTGTATGCTTAACAAACCTTGAATCATTAGTAGATAAGTCTGAACGAGTTCCTGATCCGTGACTGTCGAAGGATGTCCAAGAAGGATGTGGCGTGTTTCTGGATCGTACTGCTCCTGTGCCAAGAGCTACGGACCGACCCGATCGCAGAGATCCGGCATCCTGATTCAAGAGACACCAGGGTTCATCTTGACAGAGAAGAGGATCCTGACCCGACGTGTGTTCGTCAGCTTGGACCCCAAGATTTCCATCGAGAAGGCATACAACATTTCATCGATGCAGCTTCCTGAGTTACAGACTTGGTACCAGATGCACCTCCAAAGAGCACAGGACCGTGTGCGAAACATCTTGGAGCAAGCCCGGAAACCATTTGTATCCAGTTCTATTCCGATGAGCAACCGACCCAAAAGGTTCCTCACCGCTATAATTGTTGCATTAGTTTGTGCCACTGTCGGTGCAGTTGTCGCAACTGGAATGTCTGCAGCCAACTCTATTACTGTCCAAAAGCTGGATATGGAAATCTATGCGCTAAAGCAACACATTAACGATATTCATCAGGTGGTAAACCAGCAAAGAACACTTCTCCAAGACGTGTTAACTATTGTGGAAGACACAGTTGTTACAACAAATTTGCATTCGGAGTTAATTACCAAATCCACTGAGTTGCACCAAAGTCATGACTTATTTAAGCGTGAACTTCTATTTCTGCATGACCCAATATTGTTCCACACACTTGCTTTTCTCGACGAAGTGCAAACTGGAATGATCGAATTTGCAGGGGGACACATACCTCTGTATTTTGTATCCAAGGATATTGTTCATGCGATGCTTGCCAGTGTGGATGGAGAGACAATTGAGCCTATGCAATTAAATCTGGACTTTGAGATGGGGAGCGCTATACCTCTCTTAATTGATCCGGAACGTATGGAGATTTGCTTTTTATTGGCCATACCATATGTAACTCTCAAAGACATTTTTCAAATGAAAACAATGTACTATGATAATAATGATATTATGGTTGATTGTACTAAGTGTAAAGTTCAAAACTTTTACAGGTACAAATATATACAGAAATGTTCATTCCACGCACGGGCCTATGTTAGAAATGATGTGATTACACAATATGTCTGGTAACTTCTATAGTGCTTATTCATAAGCTAAATTAATTTTGGCTATGAAATGCACTAAAGGGGGGTTATGTCAGGGTATTTATATCGGCAGACATTTTGTGCTATGATAGAAACTAAAAGTGTATATTCTGAGTCACTCTGAACAGACCAGACTCCATTTTGTTATTTTCAAGTTAACAAAAAGACACTAGATTTCTTTCTGTAAGACTAGCCACTTTGTCAGAGCTAAAAGGAATGCATAGTATAAACAAGTGATAAGAAGAATATAATCAATTCTAAACCCAGACAATTGTGACAGAGAAGATTAAATAATTTAATTTTACTGTCTATATATATATATAAGGTACCATTGTATGGAAAAGGGTAAACTTAGTTCATGATCTGCCATATCAGAAATTATGGCAGGAATTGCAGACGCTAAGTCTGGACAAAATTTAAGAAACCCTTTGAAATTTTAAATTATGGCACTTTAAAGATAACGCAAAATGACGTCAAAATAGCCACCAGGAAAAGTTAACTCTTTCCTGGATAGGTATGTTTAGTGGGACAAGACTGCCCTCTATAGATCAAATAACTAAATTGCGATCTGGAAGATAACCACACCTCTAGTGCTTCTATTGGGTTATCAACTGATGACGTACAAAGAGTCTGGCCCTTTAAAAGTTAAGACAAAGGGAAGATAGGGATATGCAGGGTATGCAAGAGATGCAAAGGAGAAAGGAAAAGAGGAGAGAGGAATTGGAAGTTTGGGGACTCCAACCTCCATGCAGAGAGACATCCAAATAAGTTCCTGAGACTACCAATCGGATGAAATATCTACTCAACTGGTAATTATACTGGTTTCATTTAATTAATTAAATTAATTAAAATGTATTAATAGTATTATATATGACTGGATAAAGCACGGTCAGATTTCCATATTAAGAAATCTTAGTTAACTAAAGAATATATAGTTATAAACATTCCATTCTGCAGGTGGAATTAAGAATAATTATATATTGATGTGATATTATCACGAGTTAGCATACCGCTGTTTTTATCCAGGTGTATTGATTTGCTCTAATATAAGATAGATATCTTTTAGACAAATTAAAATTCTGCTTATATAATTATGGTAGATTCTCTTATTGGATGGTTCCAGGAAATGACTAATGAACTGGTTTAAATGTATTTTATTTAAAAATTACATAAGAATAGATCTTAACTACTTAGGAGATCTAGCCAGCATTGAAAGGGTTATTCTAACTGTCGGCTAAACTTTACGACCTTATGCTGCACTCTGAGGAATTCTGTTCTTCGCTGTGAAAAGTTTCACTTTCAGTCTGTGTTAAAGATAGTCATAAATAAGTCTTGACAGATAATGCTATTTAGCCATTGAAACGTAATACCCGTTCCTTTGTATTGCATATAATTTTGTACTGGATATTCATTGATTATTGTTATGCATGTTACATATATTATTATTAATTAACTTGTTATTAAAAATAAAAATCTATTTTTATAATAAAATTGTGAATATTAATTTATATGATATACTTCTCACTTAACACGATAAACGTTCTTTGGGATCTGAGAATTGAAATAGTGGGCAATTCTCAACTGTTACTATTATTATCCCATAAATATCCCCACAGCTCACACTGTCACTAGCAGACAGACTCACACTGTCACTGGCAGACAGACTCACACTGTCACTGGCAGACAGACTCACACTGTCACTAGCAGACATACTCACACTCTCTCACTAGCAGACGCAGACACACTCACAATAGCAGACACACACAAACTCTCTCTCACTAGCAGACACACACACTCTCTCTCTCACTAGCAGACACACTTGCACTAGCAGACACACTCTCTCTCTCACTAGCAGACACACCATTGTGTGGCCCTTCTTTGCAGCGAGGTCAGGACCGTGTGTGGGGGCGGAGCTTACGTACAGGAGGCGGGGCTTGCATTAAAGAGGCATGGCTTTCGTGTGGAGGCGGGGCAAGCCGACAAAATTAAGGTAAATCGTTCAGGGTGACTCATAGGTCTCCCTCCGGCCGCGGGCAGACTAATTGCGGCCGCACCAGCCACCAGCTCCTCCCTCATTACTCCCCTCGGACTGACACAGGCTGGCACAGTCCAAGGGGGAAAATGCTTAAAAAACATTAACATAATGATTTGAGCTGTCTGCCCGGCCCCAGATTACTGCGGCCCACCGGGAAATGTCCCGGTATCCCGGTGGGCCAGTCTGGCCCTGCCCAAGACTATGGGCCCTGCAAAAAGACATGCTAAAAAGGGACTTCCATGGGAAAATATGCCTCTTCCCCTCCTCCTTTTTCCTGTCCTATCGTTCTCCAGCAGGGCGTTGTCTCAGGGAAACTGCCAGACCAGTTGAAATTGGCTGCTTTGTCCCTCCTCAATCTCTCATCAGCCATTGCTATTGTTTAACCCCATGGTGATCCAACTGTATTCGTGAGATCTGAGTGCTTTTCGGACATATTAAGCGCTCAGATCTAAGCTATCTGGGGATATGTTGGACATATAGATTAAACATTGTATTATAAGAGTTATGTATCTCTATGTGGTTTTTGTAACAGCTTTTGACTTAGAGATATTTCCTGTACCTGGAGATAATTAAGTTACCACAGCCACTTAAGCCAATTATCTCCAGGATAGAGGAGAAGATAGACCGGCCGCACAGCCTAAATCTTTGGAACTATTTTGGGCATGAAAACCATGCTTGCGGTCAGTCAAATGTGACTTCCATAAAACTTTTGAACCCCTGCTCTGATCTGGGTGATATTTGGATATGTTGTTCACCCAGATCAGGGCTATCCAGGGATGTATGTTTGTGGGGATATGTGGTGTTTTGGGGTGTTTTCTGTGTTTTGTGAAAAATGGGTGTTTTCTGTCTGTGGGTAATTAAGTTAGTCCATTGTGTTTGGTAATTGTATCACAGGCAGAGGGGAGGGTTTGTGTACATTATCTGTGAGTGTCTAACTGTACAAGAGTGTTTTGATTGGCTTTGTAACTTTGTGTCCTATGCTCCACAAGGTCCACATGGGAGGTAACCTTGTGGGAAAACTTCTATAAAAGAGACAATAAAACCTCAGTTCACTCTGTTCTGCTTAACCCTCAATACGTAGCCTTGTCACATTATTGTAGGGAACTGCAATACACTGGGGATTGCTATACTTTGTATACTCCCCTGAGCTCTAATCACTTAGCTCTTTTAAGAACTGTTCCTGATACGCTCTCCTGGAGGAGAGGTCTTTCCCACACAGTCCTGGAGTACAGAGGCAGATCCAGGGTGGAAGGAAGACAGTGAGACTCCAGTTAAGCTACGGCTGTTGTGGAGTTTGTGGTGGTTGTGGTGTCTGGTGCTTATGGTACTCGGCATCAGCTAGAAAGGGTCCATCAACGGAGGTGCCCAGTCGGGTGCCAGGTGATCCGTTACACGTCTTAAAAAATTGTTTGCTTCAGCCGACATTTTGGTACATCCTGTAATGATAATACCCAACACGCAGAGTGAAAACCACCAGAACAATAAAGATAGATGGAAAGCCCCTATACCTTGGCTGGACTAAATAGGAATTAAGAAAGCCAGAAACAATCCAAGGTCAAAGGAATACAGAGGTACACTAAATCGAGGAACGATCCGAGTCAGGGAAAACCAGAAATCAAAGGCAAGCCGGGTCAATACACAATAAATAGCCAAAAGAATACAGGAACGCGCTGAGGAGAAACTAGGAACACAAGGAACACTAGGAACCACAACAGGTCACTGATTTGAAGGCAGACTGGGCTTTTATATGATTGGGGACGTGATTATCATAACCACACCCCCAAAAGGTACGTGTATGTTGAGCTCTTTTGTTTAGAGCTCCTCTGAGCAACGGTGTCCCTGATGCGTCCCTGATGCTTAATGCATCCATTCTTGATGTCGGCAGATCGGCGGACCAACAAGGTAAGTGATTTGCAGATTACACATCCCGATACTAGCAAAACCTTCATACTGGAGGTTGATGCCTCCTAAACTTGGGTGAGGTCTGTTCTTTTCTCAAAGGGAGAGTCGGGATACCCCTTTACATCCATGTGGGTACTTCTCTAGAAAATTGTCTCCTGCTGAGCGTAATTATGATATTGGCAACAGAGAATTGTTGGCCATTATACTAGTGCTTAAAGACTGGCAACATCTTTTAGAGGGTTCCAATGACACCATTTTGATCATTACTGACCACAATAATTTGGCTTATACAGGGGATGCTAAACAACTGTCTTCTAGACAGGTTAGATGGTCTTTGTTCCTATTTCGCTCTAACTTTCAGATAACATACAAACCTTGTCCCAAAAATGTGAAAGCAGACGCATTATCTAGACAGTTTGACACTGAATCAGTACAAGAACAAGAGACATCCTGTATTGTTCCACCTGAGTGTATCATTGCTTCCACTGTCCTTAACATCCCCTCTGCTTGGTGCTATCATGGAGGCTCAGTCTCATGCACCATGCAATAAACCACTAGATTAATTATTTGTTCCATTGGTTGAAAGAGAGAATGTCATGATGGTGTTCCACAACAATGTAACTGCTGGACATCCAGGCATTAATAAATCCATATCCGCTATCCTGGGATCATTTTTGTGGGATTCTCTCAGGAAAGATATTAAGGAATAAGTGCAGGCCTGTTCTGTTTGTGCAGTTTCTAAGGTACCTCATAAACTTCCATGTAGATTGTTGCATCCACTTCTCGTACCTAGTTTTCCATGGTCCCATTTGTCCATGGATTTCATCATGGAACCTCCTAGTTCTAATGGCTATACCACCATCCTTATGGTGGTTGACCAATTTTCCATGATGGCTCATTTTTAGCCACTTACCTTAATACAGCACCGGGCTCCCTCGGCGCTGGTGACCTCTCCTCTCCCTGCCGATGTCAGCTCCCGAGTGGTGCCAAATGCACAGCTAGAGTCGCGCACACATTCAAACCGCCCATAGGAAAGCATTACTCAATGC